ATAAACTTGCCTTGCCTTGCCTTGCCTTACAAAAACATATTCTGTATATAGTTAGATTCCCCCTTCATGACAACGGGACTGCTGCTCCTAGCTCCTCTCTGCTAGCTCCGTTAGCTCCGTGATGCTACAGCGGCTCAGCTCATGAGGAGAACACTACTTGAACTCGGCCGTGTTTGTTGTGTTGGCTCCTGGTGGACTATTCGTCATGCAAATATAGGATTTATCTGCGGTTGAAACAGACCGTCCATTAATGCAGTTTCTTCGGTAAGTCAACCCTGCGTACTTTATGTTATGTTACTGGTGTTTTTATTAAGCTAACGTTAATGAATGTTTAGAGTTGGGGTAGCATTTGAGCAATCGTAGCTCCATCTGTGCTAACGATGCTATGCGTAGCATCCAAGAGTGTAAAACATTAAGTGGGATGCTACTGTCTACCAAAAGGCTTCTGTGCGAGGTTGCTAAAATAAGGTCATCCTTGTACGTTAGATAGTTAGTTTGCTATTTAGGTTACTGTATGCATTGTTAAGGTTCATTTAAATTCGCTATGCTCTACTATAGCATACAATAGACTAGCTAACGTCAACGTATTGTTGAAGAGAGGCTTAGTGTATATTAAATCAACCTCACAATGAAATGTGTGTATCTTTAAAATATGAACGTCACATTTCAAGATGGTCCAGAAATAACGCTCCCTTAGATATTGTAATATGGTTTGTTGAACTGGAGTTATTTATTGCAGCTAACCGCCTATCCGACGAACGACCCAAACAGTGTTGTTTTTAATATTATTACCAATGCCTCTTTTAATTGTATTATCATCACACTTGAGAAACAGCCTTATCGTGGCTGTAGAACGGAACATGTAACTTAATTCCTGCATTTAAGGATGATGAATAGCGTAGTCAATGCTTTAGTGACAAGGACATGATTTGTTTAAATATGATATATGACGTTATCTGTGACTTCAGTGGAAATTAAGCTTATCCATTGCATTGCATTTGTTCAATAGGGTTGTGTGTTACCCTTACGTGTGTGATACATATGAATATGGCATTTGAAAACAAATTAATTTGACTGACTCATGAAAACCTCATCCAAAGTAACAGTAAAATAAAAAGGACCTACACAATAATACTCAAACTGATACAGTATAAGGACTGTGATATCCAGCCATTTCTGAAGTATAACAATAAGATTATGACCTGTTTTTAAAAGAAGATAACAAGTTGTTTGCATGTAAAGAAGTCTGTAACTTTACATCTGTTTGTTCAAAGTGTCCTCAAGGTGATCCAGACAGGCTGGACCAGAGGAGGAGAGACAGATCTGGACTCCTAGCAGCAGAGAACTTCAGCACAGATTTCAAGGTACACCTTTTCATACTTTACAAAGAATGCATAAAGTAATGACTCCAATAGACTGATATACATGCCATTAAACATGAATAAATACTAGATCACCTACACATCAGTGATGTTGAGTGGACTTTATTAGCAAAAGGTTACATTTACATTTTACCAAGCAACATCACATAGTGAGAGCTGCCACCCTTTGTCTTTCAGTGAGACAACCGGACAGAGCAAGCTTCCACAGTTGCACTAAGTTTTGATAACAGTTAAATATTATTTTAATAATACATTTATTTCAATGTTGATGAATTTAGAACGGTTTATTCATAATCTGATTATCTTTGCAGTACACTGTTGGATTTAAAAAACACATTCAAATAAAAAAATCATTATATTTATGAACAAACAAACCTCTTTCTTAAATAACACACTTGCTCTGCAATAATATGTTTTTTGATATTTCTGTTAGGAAAGGACATGCCTGAGAGACAGGACTGCTTCACCATGTTCTCTTTCTCTGAGGGTCCAGAAGAACATCCAAGAGGGAAAGGAGAAGCTGATGTGATGAGATTTAAGAGCAGTACAGGACATTCACTAAGAGACACTTGTATTGTAACACAAAGACCTGCACACTGACTAGTTTTGTAGTCTAACAGGAACTTCATTTGTGTTGTTTTGTGTTTTACGTTGCACCTCAGAGACAGTGTGATTGTCAGGCCTATAAAGTTTGGCAAAAAAAAAAGTCAGCTGATCAAATGCATTTGCCTCACTTTATGAGCTTCACATCCCTTGTGCCTTGTGCCGCCGAGTTTGGAACGTCATAAATAAATGGTACCAATCTTCAGTCAGATGTGAATGTGTAATCTAACATTTTCAGTAAGAATAACGGACAAAAGGAGTGCAAATACAATTTATTGAAATGTGAACTAAAAGTTATCAAGCATGAACCATCACCATTTTTTTTTTAAAATAAAAACGAAATAATATACATAAGTTACACTCAATGTTAATCTGTTAATTGACAGGCTAGGCCTGTGCAGGTGGTAACAGCTATGCCCAGCATGGGCTAAGTTCTGTAGGTGGTGCAGGTCCTCCTCCATCAGGTCTGGTCCTCCTCCCTCAGGCCTGCAGGGTCGTTCCCTGCGAGGAGGACTCCTCGCAGGGAAAGACCCTCAGCCCTCTCCGGTCAAAGCAACAGACAGGACGTTCATAAAGCTGAGGTTTCCCCCAAAGTCTCTAATCATCCATCCTGTGAATATGAGAGGGAAACAAATAGTGTAATAGATGCTTTGGACAATAAGAAATATAAAGTTAACTGTTGAGTTGCTCAGTTTTTTAGATTGACAGGGTTTAATAACACAAACAAAAGGAGAGAAATAAAGATTGGTCTTTCAATAAATTGTGTTGATTTTGTCTTTTGAATTGTTTGTCTGAAGTCAAGTAGCTAGAACTGTTACTTATAGTTTGAATGATACAGTCTGGTTATAATGTGTGGAGGAGGCATCACAGGTAAGAGCACCATTTGTTGTGTTCCATCCACAACACATTGATGTGTGTGTATTTATTTATCTACTATTTCTTGAATCATTACTGTCAGTCCAAAACAAGAGATTTTGTTTTGGTAACATTTAAAAAAAAAAACATTATCTCTTTTCCACTACACTATCTTGAATACTTTAGTTTTTACGTCACTACATTTATCTAACAGCTTTAACATTGTAAAGGTGTCACTTCGGACTCTGGGTAATTATGACAGCATGTCCTACTCAGAGCCCTAGAGTCTCCAGGGCTCTGGTCCTACTATTTTGAGAGTTTGAACAAACCAGACCTTCATCTATTAATGTAGAAAATAGTCGGCACATTACACCATTATGAAAGTAATAATTAGTTGGCTCATTGTTCAAATGAGCTCCAACTACAACAGTTAAGTCAACTCGTGCATCGGTAATAACAATAAATCAAATGATATAATATAATAGTATAACTTGTGTCTACTTTAAATACTCTAACAACACTTTCCTAATTATACTAGCATACTTTTACTAAAGTAACATTAACATGTTTAAATGCAGGGCTTTTGTAAGAGAGTATTTCGTATAGTGTAGCATGGTCTACTTGACTTATCTAACCGAAGTGATCGTTACGTTACTTTGCAAACCGTCCCCCCCCCCCCCCCACACACACAAAGGACAGGGTAACGTTGTGATTCACTTCAGTTAATGATAACTACGGAGCTTGCTAACAGCAAGGCACAAGGCTACTTCACTCATTTAGCTAATGTAAGATACAAATGCTGTCGAGCCCTCACTGCTTGTAAGATAAAGAGCACAAACTGACTGCTTACCCGAGCGGCGAGCCCCGCTGTTCTCCGTCATTTTTCTCCCGGGTTGTTGTGATCACATGACTGACAAAGCCGTGCTCTGATAGGCCAAGTCGGTTTGATTGCATTAGGGCTCGATTGCTTATCCTGTCTGAGTAGCCCGGATGAGGCTGCATCGCAATTTTTGACGTCGAATTTTACACACCGAATTTTTTTACATCGAATTTTAAACACCGAAATATTTGACGTCGAATTTTTTTCACTTGAATTTTTGGAATCTGAATTTGAACATTCGAATTTTTTTAACTTGAATTTTTACATTTTTATTTCACATAGATAAATTCGGAGCAAAAAAAATTCAGATTCATGATTTTCAAAGTAATTATTTTCAATGCTATAAATTCGGTGTCTAATACAATTCAAATACTTCTGTCTCTTGTTTGCTTCCATACACATCACGCTCTGCCGCTCTGCTCTGAACGGCCCGTTCTAACAGCTGTTCACCAGCAGTGAAGTCTGTGCCACAGTGACTCTGCACAGTTAACGAACTCACCGTAGATAGTGTAGCTGACCCGGAGCAGCAGAGTTCAGCCGACAGGCGGGAAGACTCGAGCATACAGCTCGCGCTTCATATATAAAAAAAAATAACACCATGCGCGTCATGATGTGCCATCAATTTGAGACCGCAGATTATTTCGGCAATTAGATAAAATGTAAATTATATTTGACGCAACTTTAGTTACATTTCCATGACTTTTCCAAAACGTTGGGAAAAATATTGTTTTCCATAACTTTTCCAGGGCCTGGAATTTGCATTTTGAATTTCCATGACTTTTCCAGGTTTTCAATGACCGTACGAACCCTGGGTACTACCAAATGGCAGGCACACATAAATAAATTAAATGTCTCCGTTGTGGGACAAATAAAGGATTATCTCATGCATCTACACATGTAACCTTACTTATACACGCCAAAATAACGTTTACACATAAATAAAGTTTATCACAGACACACATGTAAATAAGTCTATGACAAAGTCTCATCTGTACAGAACAGTATGATCAAATAAAATACATGTCTATAAATGTCTCCGTTGTGGGACGAATAAAGGATTATTTTTATTCATCTACACACGTAACCTTACTTATAAATGCCAAAATAACGTTTACACATAAATAACATTTACACCGAGTAAACGTTTACTAATCAAGAGTCTATTTTGTCCCGAGAAAAAGTTCATGAGGGGAAAATAAAAAGGTTGATAAATCCATTGTTCATTTTCGCGGTACTCCTCACAAAATGGCAAATGCACTACAAGTTATATTTACACTTACCCATCCTCAAATGGATCCCTGCTGTCCCTGTATTCTTCTTCCTCAGAAGAGTCGAAGCCTACAGGTTCTAATGAGCCATCTTCTTCACTGCCGGTCGCGAAAATAAAATCCAGCGCGTCCGCAACGGTAAAGTTCCTTCAAGCCATTTTCTCTATCTTCTTCACAGACTAAAAGACTGAAACTGATCGGAGACACCTGTTATATGTTTTTTTATTGGTGGGTAGGTCCTTAGATTTCTAGAGTATCCATTGGTCATTTCAGACCGACATGGCTGCCGGCCGGCCGAGATGTCCTTGACTGACACACAAATCCACCAATCACACACAGTGTAACGCCGAATCAAGCTGCTTTGAGCGGCAATATTGGCTGCTGTGCCCTGGGTACAGTCTCACAGGAGATACTCTTGAAAAGCTACGATTCTAGCGATTCCGCAGATATCTGAATCATATTTCTACTCCTTACAAGTGAAAATCTATGATTAAATACGTAAATAAATGTGCACACTCCACCGACTCCAGAGGGTAATAAGCAAAATATGTCACATTATATAATGACTGTCACCGAGTCATCATTTTGAGAAAAAGGCCTTTAAAGTTTCCTCTTCTCTGGATCGATCTGATTGATTATTAGCGGAGCAAATGATCAAAGTAGTACGGAGGGAAGATATTTTCGTTTGGATTACTGGTCTGTGGGAAGCTCGCGAGTGTGTGCGTGTATACGTGTGTGTGTTTGTGTATTTTTGCGTTTATTTCCCGGGGAAAAACTCTCAGGAGAAACACCGGCTGTTGTTATGCTTGCTGTGACGTCAAGTTACTCCGTTCTCCGCTCGTAATTATGCCGTTAAAAGCTTCAAAGCTGTATTTATCATCTGAATTTGCCGAAACAAGTTTAATATTCTGAAAGCCAAGACTTTGTTTATTTGAAATCAGATGAAAACAAACTGTAACGGACCCTGCGGTGTTATCTATGATTACTATGCCTTACATTCATAATGTCAGCGGAGGGAGGGGAAGCGGCGCTGTGGAAGAGCAGAGTGGCGAGAGAGAGGCGAGCTGTGTTCTTCCCTTTACAAGCTTCAAAAATGCCTGTAGCTAATGAGATTGAATATAACAATCAAAAATAACAAAATATACACAGCTAGATCAGATGGCGTTCTTTTTAGATGCGACTTTAGAGGCTAGAGGGGAATTATTGAAACGGGATGTGTACAGTGTTCCGCGGCATCCGCTGCTGCGAAAATGTGGGGCAGGGCCGTAAAGTGGGGGGGGCAATACTATTACTATATATGAAAGCACAAAATAAAACACATTTTCATTTTGTAATGGTTGTTTAATTGAAAACACAACATTCAACACATTTTCATAAAAAACATATTACATTTGACCAAGTTAATGTCGTAGTGCATACAAGGTAATAGACTTAACGATTTGCACTGCTGCTTCTCTTCGCGTTTCATTGACAGTGATCGGTTTATCGTTCAATTCACATTGCCCAAGTAGATGTTTAGGGGTCTCTTGGAAGTATACGAATGCATTTTTTATATCAGATAAATGCATTAACATCACATGCAAATTCTCTATCCTTTCACCCGCAACGATTATAATCTGCTTTGCTTCTTCTTCGGTTTCACCATTATTAGCTCTGAATGTAATCCTTTCTGGGGCTTCTTGTGCTTCTTGTGGTCTGTTGAATACCTGGCGTAGGATTTGTTTAGCTGTAAGGACAGGTACCATATAATTGTCTTCAAAAGCTTTTTCTATGTCGTCACACGTTTTGGCGTATCCTTCGATGTAATGACAACCGATACTAGAATAGAGATCCTCCAACAGTCTTTTAATGCATGTTCTGGCACTCTCGCCAATTTGGGCAATTCCATAGTATCGCGCTGTTTCTCTCATTATACTGAAGCAAAGCTCTGCCATTGCTTTTGGTATTTGCTCAACACACTCGCAGCAGTCGGTTAGCGGTAGATTATCTATAAGATTATTATGATCCGGTAATGGCTCTACAACACCATCAGCATCCTCTAGTTTAAATTTCTTCACTTTGTTCCTTTTTCTTTTCACCTTCCTTCGTTTTGTCTTTTTGGTTTTCCGTCCTATTGCCCCTTTTCTTTTCATTCGCATTCTGCGTTTGCTTTTCATTTTTCTTCTCCTTTTCATTTTTATTTTTCTTCGTTTTTCTTTACTTTTTCTTTTCTGCTAATTGTCGTTTGCGATCTTGGCGAGTGGTATGAGATATACTGTTTCTATAAAGGTTATCTATAATACCATCTTTTTAAAAAATATATTCTTCATATGTCATGTTATCATGGTCCTCTTTTGTCCTAAAGACCTTACATGGATATGATATAGAGGAGAGCTCTTCTTCGGGAACATCCTCTCCCCTACTTTGTAACATCCAGTCATTAAGCCCGTATCCATTATCCTGGCGATAATAAGGGGAGGCTACATCAGACTTGGTTTTTCTCAGATTCATGGCTAGTTTTCAACGGTCGTCTTAGTGGGGGTCCTTAGCTTTATATGATTTGCTGAGTGGGGTGGGACTTATTGCGTTGAGTGGGAGGAGTCATCTGTGAAAGTACTCTGTTTTATTAGATTTCGTAAAGCATCTGACTCTTAATGGCAGTTTGTGATTTTGAGGCTATTTCAGTGAAACAAAGCAGTTTTGAACATTTGACAGATTTACGCTTAATTCTCTCAAAAAGATACTGAAAGATACACTTTTATGTTTAAAAGCTGACCACTACCATGAAAGCACTCTGTTTTTATTAGATTTCGTCAAGCATCTGACTCTTAATGGCAGTTTGTGATTTTGAGGCTATTTCAGTAAAACAAGGCTGTTTTTAACATTTGACAGATTTACGCTTAATTCTCTGAGAAAGTTACTGAAAGATACACTTTTGTGTATAAAAAAGCTGACCACTACCATGAAGTACTCTGTTTGAGTAGATTTCGTTAGGATTCTGACTCTTAATGGCAGTTTGTGATTTTGAGGCTATTTCAGTAAAACAAGGCTGTTTTTAACATTTGACAGATGTATGCTTAAATTCTCTCAAAAAGATACTGAAAGATACACTTTTATGTTTAAAAGCTGACCACTACCATGAAAGCACTCTGTTTTATTAGATTTCGTCAAGCATCAGACTCCTAATGGCAGTTTGTGATTTTGAGGCTATTTCAGTCAAACAAGGCTGTTTTGAACATTTGACAGATTTATGCTTAAATTCTCTGAGAAAGTTACTGAAAGATACACTTTTGTGTTTAAAAGCTGAAAAGTAGATAATGAAGTACTTTGTATTAGTAGATTTCGTCAAGCATCTGACTCTTAATGGTTCTCTCTAAATTTGATTCAGGGGTTTGTTTTAAATGATTTGTGCTTTGTGTGTACAGACACACAGAAAACACTGAAAAACACAAAAAGAAGGACTGTAATACACATGTATCAGACACGCTCCCCTTGCTATAATGAAGACAACAGTTTTTAAATGTAAAAAAAACCCTTTTTTTATTTTTTCACACACAAAAATCAAATAGTTATACTGATTGTAACATCCCCAGGACTGTCTCCAGCTTAGAATTCCCCATATTACTGGAAATATCGTGATGGAGTTTTTTCACTTCAGTCAGAATATTCATGTGTATGCTGCTTTCGACACAAATATGCATTACATCTACAAACAGAGCATACAATGAGAGCACATGATACACTTTTGATGTTTGTTTCATTTCTGAGATAATGTTACAGAATGTTTCGGAAAATGAAGATTCCAGGACCACTTTAAATGTTTCGTTTACAATCGTTTCCCAATTACCCGGAATAGTACTGCCAGAACGAACGATATCCAAAATGTCTTCCAGTTTACAAACTTCAGCCATTCTTTTTACACAGGGGTCACTACTCGTTCTGTTTTCAATCGTCCTCATCACCACACTTATTAAAAGGGTATTGACTACATTCTGATCAATATATACAGAGCGTTTTGCATAGTAGTTTCCCATGTTTATTTTACTTTAAAGAAAAAAAAAGTCAATGTATCGAACAAGTCCCTGGCTTCAGTCAACTGCTGGTTATTAGGCTTCTTCTTCTCCATCCAACTCGGCATGGATCTTTTCAAGTCTCTCCTTGAGGCGTCTGACATTTTTGAGATTGTGAAGAAAAGCCTCCGAAGCGCCTTGGATCCTCCAATCATCCGTGAAAATGTCTTTATCAATAAGAGTCTGGTGGATCTCAGTAATGAAGTCGGTGAGCCAGAGTCTTTTCATTAACGCGTTGTAATTGTTTCTGAAGTAAAAATCGGACATGTCATTCAGAAAATCGTGTTGCCTCTGGCCGGGGTGACTGACTCGGCACCCGTTGCATATTTCTTCTCTGTACCGATGTATCACCCTCTCCACAATATCAACCAACACCGATTTCACTGTGTCCATAAACAGAGACGTTTTGGCCCAGGGAGCAAAATCAGCAGCAGTAGTATTGCAAGATTCGGGTGTCCAAAATGGTGGTGATGATGGTAGTCCAGGAGTCTGTTCCTGGCTGCAACTCGCAGGGGGAAGTCTTGGTTTTTCTCAGCTCCATGGCTAGTTTACAACGGTCGTCTTAGTGGGGTCCTTCGTTTTAGATGATTTGCTGAGTGGAGGGTGGGGCTTATTGCGTTGAATGGGGGGAGTCATTTATAGAATTGAGAGTTTAAAAAAAAAAAAAGTTCTTTAAGCGTTGTAGCTTTTTCATCTATCATCTCCAACCAAGCAGCAATAGGTCAACATTTAAGAATAAGTAATAGTTTGTCAAGATTTTACGGAAAAAGTCAAAAAAAAGTATAGTTTGTCAGAAATATGGAAAAGTCATTGTGTACAAATAGTATGTTGAAAATCAAAAGAAAGAAAACTCAATTCATTACAAATTAACGAATATTTTACCCTGTTCTAAAGTTTTGCACCCCTTAAAGAAAAACCCATTCCTTACCAAGTACTTCATATTATACCCTTTTGTTAAGTGTTGCGTACATCAAGGTGTATCTTAAAGTATCTTGGTAGCAGAAAATAACTAAAATATGTAAGGTTATCAGAAAAGAAAAAACCTTGTTTAACTGAACAAGTGTTGCATACGCCAAAGTGTGTCTAAAAGTATCTTAGTAACACAAGAAA